CAATACGGTAATAATCGAAAATGTATCATGCGCTACAGCTTTATAATATACATAATGTGTCTTACAAAATACGGTGTTCTATTTTACCACGGGTACACTTATCTTCTTAGGATAATTAAAAAGTTACCGGCCGGCGGTCAATGCATAATTACCGACCGTGATAGGCCCCTGGGGGCATGCAACGCCGCTGCTACTGAGTTTCGGGCCTTAGGACCAGGTCCACATGGTGGGGGAGCAACAACATAGGTTGGCAGTGGGGAGAGCCGACCACATAGGCGAGGGGTTGACGCCATAGTGCGGTACGGGGGGTCAGAGCGCTGCGCGCTCCATGACTCACAGGGGACAGTAGTGGGGGTTTGTTGTGACGGCCAGAAGTGGTATATAACTATCTGGTAACGGATTTTTTTTTAATTTAATTTTTATCATTCAAGGTTATGTAAAGGTAATCTTTTTAATACGTCGAATTATCAGAAAATTATGTCGAGGTATAATTTTAATTCTGAATTATTTTTTACATCAGAACATACTGATAATTCGAGATGTTAAAAATACAATTATCTTTCCGTAGACTTGAATTAAAAATATATACTAAATTCAATCAGGCTACTCAAAAATCTATGAAACTAAAAATTTCGAAGCAGATACACTATTTGTCTCATCTCACCATACATATGTATAAAATAATTGTGTGGGTTTTTCACGCTTTTCATTTTTTTACCCAATATTAATAAGTGCAATTTTTTGGGACATTTTTTACTACTTTTCTATTCGGCTGAATAATATTTAAACTATCAAAAAGTGAAACAGCCTGCCATACGTGCGAGCGTTATCAAATTTTTTTTTAATCAGACCACGGCACATTAAAACAAAAAATGAAATGGAGAAATGTATCTATGTTAGAAATGCAAAAATGTTAAGCGTTAAGCGAATGAAACGAGATTTTTTTCCATTGCTGTCAATTTTTCTCTTACATCTTCATGAGAGTCCGTGTTGCAACAAGTGAGGCTCCTAACTTTCACCAGCTATGGATTATCATATATGAAGAACATGCATTGGGCGCATTGACAACGATTCAGCTTCGTAATCGTCATAATCATAAGGTGCCGAGATCGCGTCCAGTGACGAGAACTTTTTTTTTCTTCATTTCTTTTTTGTTTAATTTTTTTTTGACCCGATGTTGTATGGCTCGCATGGAAGGGCGAAGTTAAAAAATAATGCAGTCCTTAGCAAACCAAACGCGAAATAAAATATATGTAGTTCAAGACATTGCATATGCAGTTTTATAACAAATACTTTATGCAATGACATGTGCACCTTGCTAGAGATTTCATTGTTTTCCATTTGTCAAATAAAACACATGAAACTTGGGGATGAACTATAGCAATCGTAGAGAAGTAATAGTGAACGGAACCTTTTCAAGAATACATATGCCGCGAACCCATGAAGGCATACAATGTTGCAAGCAAACTGAAAACATTCCCGCGGCTTCTGCTAGCTTTTTTCAGTTCTTTCTTCTAGTTTAAGAGTATCAGTCCGCTCTGCATTTTCAAATATAGAGTGAATGAATATAAGCGTTTCAAGTATGGAACACAAAAATAAGAAAAAGGAAAGGCAGTATGATTTTAAGAGTATACAAAAATTTTTTGTTTAATTTTTTTTCGAAATGGTAGTGTACCCAACAAACCCTCTTGTTCAGAACAGTGTTCTCCGGCCAGACAAATCAGTCCTTGGAAGTTTAACCCGAAAGAAAAAAAAACAAACATTTTTCAGTTCTGTATAAGAATAGCTAGAGACATACGTAGGGAAATTAGAAAATGACGTGTTCTGTAAAAATGGCGTCTAAAATCAAAATTCTGATTAGACCTTCTGTAGCTATTCTTATATAGAATTGAACATTATTTGGATTTTTATTTCAGGTCAAACCTCCAAAAAGTAATTCGTCCAGCCGCAGAACACTGTTATGAACAAGAGGTTTTGTTGAATAAGCTTCGAAGTCACCATTTTGAAAAAAAATTGTAGTATACTTTTAAAATCATGTACACTGAGCGTCATTAATGGTCCACCTTGTTGACCTAGTGCAGTGAGGTAAGAGAGGAGACTGGGCGGTGCCTACTCACGTATCTCTGCCTGTGTGTGCAACGCAGAGAGCACTACGGTGCGAGCGAGACGCCAGAGCGTCGCTCAGCACATCTTTGTTGCACAACACAAGTTTAAGGGAGACGGCAATGTGGCCCCTCATTCGCAATAGGGAGCTTGGTGGGGCATTTTCTTCTCCTACGTTGTCGACCAGGCTAGTTAGCGCTAATGTCCCACCAAGCTCCCAGGTGCGACTCAGTGGAACTCATGGATTGCCGTCTCGCTCCCGTTCTTACGTGCGAAAAAGACGCACC